GAGGGCGCGGCAATTGTCCGGAAAAGCCCCTGGCGGACAATTGCAACAAAACGGCCCAAGACGGCGTTCACAACCGGCGGGCGCCCACTCACCATCATCATCATCATCATCATCATCATCATCATTTTCATCATGACCATCGTCGTCGCCGTCATCATGATCACCCGCATCACCAGCATCACCAGCATTATCATCATCATCGTCATCATCCTCATCATCATCATCGTAATCATCATCATCATCATCAGCATCATCATCTTCGTTTTCATGTTCGTGTTCACTAGCACCACGCGCGCGCTTCGGTTCTAGCAACTTCCAGCCCTTGACAATCTCACAGCTGCGTGCAAATGCGCACGCACACATGCAACGTCACGAGTTACCCACAAGTGGTTCGAACATGAGGTGAATGAGAAAGAGAAAGAGCAGGAGGATTATCAGGAGGATGTGGGAGGGCGGGGTGAGAGAATAGAACAGTCTGCGGAAATCGTGACGAAAAGGAAGAGAACATGATCGATACAAGGAGAGGTTGAGGAAAAGTAAGCTAACGAGGATGTGTCTTAATCAAAAGGAATAAGGCATAGCAGAAAAGACGGGATGAGGGTAGTGATGGAGTGTGATCATGAGAAAGAGAGGGAACGCACATTATACCACAATGATCCCCTCACATATATATATATATAAAAATATATATATATGATTCTATCGATGTACGTATATATATACATATATATATATCCATATCCATATCCATATCCATTCCACCGCCCGCCGGGGCACCAGGACGTCGGTTCCCAGGCGGTGGATGTGGATGAATTCCTGCCTCGCGCGCTCGCCCTGGGCCCCAGTGGCCGCACGGAGTCCGCCAGGATCTCTTGCGCTCGCTGGCCCCCCGATTTTTCCGAGGCCCAGGCCCGAGTTTGGGGCCGCGGGCAGCGCGCCATGCGGTCGCCCGCCGCTGGACGACGCCGTTGCTGCTGGCGTCGTGCGTCCCGCGTCCTGCGCCCTCCTCCTCCTCCTTTTTCGCAGCCGTCCTGTGGTGCTGGGTCCTCGCTTTGAGTCAAACAGCGCCCCGCGCCACTCCTCAGTCATCCTCCCCCATCCTCTCCCTCCTCCCCCTCCTTGCCTCTGCCCTCCGCAGGTCCACGTTTTTACACCCCTCACATGTTTCTTGGCCTCATGGGGGGCTCCACCGAAGGCCCTAATGGCAGGGTTTACGTGCGTCCGCGCGAACCATTTCGGCAGACACCTTACACGCTTCGTGGCCCCATAGGGAGCCCCACCGAAGGCCCCAACGGCAGGGTCCGACCCATCTTGGCACACCCTTCGCACGTTTCGTGGCACCATAGGGGGCTTCACCGAGGACCCCAGTGGCAGGGTGAACATGCGTCCGCGCGACCCATTTCGGCACACCCCTCACACGCTGCGTAGTCTCGCGCCCGTGCGATCCATTTCGGCACACCCATCGCATGGTTCGTTGTCCGTTAGGTGGCTCCACGGAAGGCCCCAATTGCAGCGTTTACATGCGCCCGTGCGACCCATGTGGGTACACCCCTCGCACTTTTCGTGGCCCCCTAGGGAGCTCAACCGAAGGCGCCAACGGCAGGGTCCACATTCCCATATCAGAAAGAGCGTGTTCTACCGCTGCTGGCGGAAAACCAGGGGGGGTCACTACCGGTTCGAACCCTTCCACCCCCCCGCCCCCCTCCGGAAAACTGGGGGGGGGGTCACTACCGGTTCGTCACTACCGGTTCGAACCCCTCCCCCCCCTCCCCCCCCCTCCCCCCCAGTTCATCATGAAAAGGGGGGGGGGTCACTACCGGTTCGAACCCCCCCCCCCCCCTCCTCGAAAACCGGGGGGGTCACTACCGGTTCGAACCCCCCCCCTCCCTCGAAAACCGAGGGGGGGTGCGGACAGTGGTGGGGACGGTGGTGGTGGGGACAGTGGTGAGGGGACAGCGGGACAGTGGTGGGGACAGTGGGACAGTGGTGGGGACGGTAGTGGTGGGGACAGCGGTGAGGACAATGGTGGGAACAGTAGGGACAGTGGACAGTGGTGGGGACGGTGGTGGTGGGGACAGTGGTGTGGGGACAGTGGGAATGAGGTGGAAACAGTGGGACAGTGGAGGGTACAGTGGTGGTGGGGACAGTGGTGAAGGCGGTGGCGAGGACGGCGGTGGGACAATGGGACAGAGGTACAGTGGGGACAGACAGTGGGGACAGTGGTGGGAACAGTGGAACAGTTCAGTGGGACAGCGGAGGAGTCAGTGGGACAGTGGGGACAGTGGGGATAGTCGGGCAGTGGTTGGGGCCGTGGAGAAAGTGGGGAGAGTGGAACCGTGGTGGGAACAGTGGTGGGGACAGTGGGGACAGTGCGACAGTGGTGGGGGCACTGGTGGGGACAATAGGGACGGTGGTGGAACCAGTGGGGACAGTGGTGGTGAGGACAGTGGTGCTGGGAACAACAGTGGGGGATGTGGTGTGGACGGTGGTAGGGACCGGGAGTCGTTTGCTGGCGGTGAGTGGGGGGTGGGGAGGGGTTCGAACCGGTAGTGACCCCCCCTCCGGTTTTCGGGGGGAGGGGGTGGTGGTTCGAACCGGTAGTGACCCCCCCCTGTTTCGAGGGGGAGGGGGGGGGGGAGGGGTTTTGACAGGGGAGGGGAGGGGGGGGGGGGGGGGGAGGGGGGGGGGGAGATTTTCGGAGGGGGGGGGGACCCCTGGGCTCCGGAGGAAAAGGGCGGCAATTTTCCACAGTAAAGCGGCGGTGGATCACGCTCTCTCCCATATCGGAACACCCCTCTCACACGTTTCGTGGCAGCATAGGGAGCCCCACCGAAGGCCCCAGTAGCATGGTTCACATGCGTCCGCGCGACCAACGTCGGCACACCCCTCACACGTTTCGTGGCCCCACGGAGTGCTCCACCGAAGGCCCCAGTGGCATTGCCCACATGTGCCCGCACGACCCATTTTGGCACACCATTCGCACGCTTCGTGGCCCGTACGGAGCTTCACCGAAGGCCCCAGCGGCAGGGTCCACATGCGACCGCAATATTTATTTCGGCGCACATCCCTCACACGCTTCGTGGCCCCATAGGGAGTTCCACCGAAGGCCCAAACAGCAGGTCTTTCATGCGTCCGCACGACCCAATTCGGCACACCCCTCACACGCTTCGTGGTCCCATGGGAAGCTCTGCCAGAAACGATTATCACGCTATTGCATTTGGTCGGGTCCGTCGCCAGGATCATGTCTTCCTACTGTTTGCTAACCTCCTCCGCTCTTTTTCCTTAAAAGTAATCTCTCCCTGTCACACCCCGAGGTGTGTCGGCACGGCGGGCCAAGGGTTTCGCTTGATATTCCCTCACCATACAGAATCGTTTAGTTGGAAATTCGCCAGAGCTTCACAGATGGAGGGTGGGTCGTTTTCGCCGCGCACATTCGTTTTAAACCATGTAAGAGTTGGACGGATGGAGCGTGTGCGTTGTTCAACTTGTGGTTCTCGCTTCAGCGCCGCACACATCCGTTTTAAAAGTCGGCATGTGTTGACGGATGGGCTGGTGCTTTTCAAAATGTGGTTCTCGTCTTGGCGCCGCGCGCATTCGTTAAAAACAAACTAATCTTGGCGAGGGGCCCAACCAGATGCAGCTGTGAAAACCCTGAATACCGCCGATGTGAGACATGCATTCGGTGGAGCTCCCTATGGGCACGAGGCACGCAAAAGTGTGCGCCGCAATGGAGCGGGGCCGCCATGCTGGCGCTGCTGCTGGGGCCTTCGGTGGAGCTCCCCGTGGGGCCAGGAAACGTGTGAGGGGTGTGCCGAAATTGAGGGTGGCGGCGGCATGCAAGCCATGCCATTGGGGCCTTCCTTGGAGCTCCCTATGGGGCCACGAAACGTGTGAGGGGTGCGCCAAAGTCGGGGTGGGGGGGGGCAGCATGCGAACCATGCCATTGGGGCTTTCGGTGGAGCTCCCTTTGGGGCCACGAATCGTGTGAGTGGTGTGCCAAATTGGACAGGGGGCGGCATGCGAACCATGCCACCGGGGCCTTCGGATGAGCTCCCTGTGGGGCCACGAAGCGTGTGAGGAGTGTAGCGGCACGCGAACCAGGCCATTGGGGCCTTCAGCGGAGCTCCTTGTGGGGCCGCGAAACGTGCGAGGAGTGTGCCAAATTGGACCGGGGGTGGCATGCGAACCATGCCACTGGGGCCTTCGGTCGAGCTCCCTATGGGTCCACGAAGCTTGTGAAGGGTGTGCCAAAGTGAGGTTGGTGATGGGAGGAGGGAGGAGGGAGGAGGTGGAGGAGGAGGAGGAGGAGGAACGCGGGGCGCCGTCTCTTCAAAACGAGGAGCCAACACCGCAGGATGGTTGGGAATCGCAAGAACGTCGCGGGTGGAAGGCCGCTGGTTTTCTAAATGTGGTTTTCGCTTTAGCGCCGCGCACATTCGTGTCGAAAGTTCGCAACCGCTTCACGAATGGAGGGCGGGTGGTTTAAAACATGTGGTCCTTGCCCTAGCGCCGCGCATATGCGCTTGAAGACCCTACAACAGCTTCAAGGATTCTCACGGTGAACCGTCAAGAAGTAGCGCATTGGCACGATGTCGGGTTGTCAGGGCGCAACCGTTACGTTGATTCGCGGCGTTAAAGTTCGAGGAATGGTGATCTGGCGCGAATCAGGATCGTCAAGACGAAACAGTAGCTGTGATTCGTGGCGTCGAAGTCCCAGGAATGGTGTTCTGGCGCAGCTCAGGATGTTCAAACGGTCGTCTTCCAACGGGGCATTCCCCTCAGTCCCAAAGGACTCCTCGTAGGGGCCTGTGGCGAGGGAACTTGGAGGGAGGGTCTCTTGCAATGCCTTTGATGAGTCTTGGGTTTGCACTGGTCCTCCTCCTCCTCCTCCTCCTCCTCCTCCTCCTCCTCCTCCTCCTCCTCCTCCCCCTCCTCCTCCTCCTCCCCCTCCCCCTCCCCCTCCCCCTCCCCCTCCTCCTCCTCGGCTGCCGTCTGCCCAGCTCGGCGCGCGGGCCCCCCCTTCCCTAGGCCGCAGCCGGACACGGCGGGGCGCCCTCCTGTCAGGGCCTCGGAAGCCAGGACAGGGCACGCAGCACAGGCCCTTGCCGGAGCCAGCCCCTGAGAGCCGAGGCTCCAGCAAGAATCGGAGCGGGCGGTTTTTTGACAGTGGTCGGCCTCCGGGGGCCCTCGCCGGGCCTCGGGAGCGTCAGCAAGGGGTTCAGGACGGAAAGCCGGTCCCGGGGAAGTGGTCCGGACCTCCCGGGTCCACGCCCCCAAAAAATTGGAGCAGCCGGCTGTCTGGGGTGGGAGGAACGTGTCAACCCACGGCTTCTCGAGCGGAAGGGTTCCTCCGAAGGCGGCGGGCCTTCTCGAAAGGCTTCCGGTCTGCTGGGAGGTTCCTGTGTGCCTTCGGGGAGGGCTTCATGGAGCTCCTCAGAAGACCCGGGGAGCTTCCGAGCCTTCTGAGGAAGGCCCGCCCCCTTCTCGCTTCCCCCCCCCCCAGGCTCGCCGCCGAACGGCCTCGCGAGCAGCGAACGTGTCCGTATCCACGCCCTCGCGGCCTTGGGCTCCGGGGCGCGACCTCGCGGATACGCTCACCGAGCGCGTCCTCGAAGGTTTGGTTGGTGCCGCGTCTGTCAGAAGCCAAGGCGTGGCGTTCAGCATCCGTGAGCGACACCTGTTTCTGCATGTGTGGAAAAGAATGGAAGAAGCCAGCTCGTTTCTTTGGATATCGCATCGACCTCACAGATGTGGAGAGAGACTGCAGTGGTAGAGCGTGCTGTCGCAGTGACCGTCCCTTTTTCATTCTGCCTGGATTTGACGATCCGCGAGGCTGGCTAACCAAGAAATCTGAGAAGTATCCCATTGAATTGTGCTTCCATGGCGGATCCAGGCCATTTGCGAGTAGGCACTTTGCGAGTAGTGGAACGCGCCTGTCTGCACGCGACCGCGTGGGTGCGCTCCGCGCGGGGCACGCGCCGCAGAAGAGCGCTCTCCGTGCTGGTGTGCTGGTCCGCCCACGGGCTGCAGCGCCCTCTTGGCGTGACGGTGTCCCTGATGGGCCTGTGCTCCACCACCGCCACCATACGTTCAAGGGGGGGAGCAGGAGGAGGAGGAGGAGGAGGAGGAGGAGGAGGAGGAGGAGGAGGAGGAGGAGGGGAGGAGGAGGAGGAGGAGGAGGAGGAGGAGGAGGAGGAGGAGGAGGAGGAGGAGGAGGAGGAGGAGGAGGAGGAGAGGAGGAGGAGAGGGGAGGGAGGAGGAGGGAGGAGGAGGAGGAGGAGGAGGAGGAGGAGGAGACGGAGAGGGGAGGAGGACCCCCTCCCCCTCCAGCTTATGGCGGTGGTGGCAGAAATCAGGCCCATCAGTCCCAGTCCACCGAGCAGCTTGACTGCACCCGTCGGCCGTCGAAGGCAGGCGTTCTCGGAGGAGGAGGACCAGGACGAGGAGGTGGAGGAGGAGGAGGAGGAGGAGGAGGAGGAGGAGGGGGAGGAGGAGGGGGGGAGGAGGAGGGGGAGAAGGACGCCCAAATCCCAGTCTACTTTTGGGCGCGCTCCTGCTTCAAGTGTCGAGCGGGGTTGTCCCTCGTCCCTCCTCTTCCAGGGGCGGGCGGAGGTCAAATCTAATCCCAACGCCTTCCTACTGTATGTTTCTGACCGGTGGGTGATGGTCCTAGAATCATCGAGGATACCAATAACCCCTAACCCTAATAACATAGTGAAGACTTGGCATCACTGACGTCCCCGTCTTAGCATCAGGGATCATAGATCTGGGCGGTTTGGTCTGATACAGCTACAGACAAGACCCCCTATCCCTAAGGGGTTTGACCCTGTAGGTCCCCTCTCAAAGGGTTAGGGGCACTTGTAGTTCTTATCACGTGGTCTCCCATGATGTCCCGTGGCCTCCTAACGTCTGTGCCCTTTTCTCTTCTCTGGACCAAGTTTGAGGCTGTCAAGGGCATTCTGCCACAAGGGTGCAACTTACGGTCCAGGACGCCAACTTACGGCCTAGAACGCCTGGCTTCGCGTGACGCACCGCCTGCTGTGGCCCACCGCGCTGTGGCGCGCGACACGCCATCCGCGTCCCCACTGCCGAGCCCGCCAGTGCCTCGATCCCCTCCGAGCCCCCCGCCCACGGGAGCGACACGCTGCCCGCCTGCCAGGCGCGGCGTGTCGCCGAGGCCGCCGCCGCGATACGCCATACAGCCGGGGCCCTGCAGAAGGAACCCTTTTCGTCGGGGAGGGGCTCCGTGTTCCATGATTTTGGTTCACAGTTTGCCCCAGGTTCTCTTCAGATTCTGGATGGGGGATCAAAGTCTAACGTATGGAGAAAAAAGGGGCCTCGCTCCTGATGTAGGGTCCCTTAGGTCAGCGCCCCGATGGTATCCAGAAGTCCCTGGCCGTGCCACCGTGTGCGTGTCCCCGCGCTCGGGGCCCCGACCCTGCGGCCGCGATGTGGGACAAGCTCCACGCGGCGGTGGCGCAGGCCGGCGCCGCCGGGACGCCAGGCGCTCCGCCCAGACCTCTGGCGGCGTCACTCCTGTCGGTGCCGGCGGTCCGGCGTTTTTCCCTGGTCGACGGAACACTTGGCATCGCTCGGGCGTTCCTCCTCCTCCTCCTCCTCCTCCTCCTCCTCCTCCTCCTCCTCCTCCTCCTCCCCCACCTCCTCCTCCTCCTCCTCCTCCTCCTCCTCCTCCTCCTCCTCCTGGAGTCTCAGGGTTGTGTGCTTTTTTCTCGGCGAGGACCATCGAGGAGTATCTTGGATCATCTGCCGACGCAGAGGGACGCACGAAACCGAAACGTGCACGAGAAGTGGACGTCCGAGCGCTGGCGAGAATGATCAGAATCACCAATTGTTGGAGCTCCCACGGACGGATTCCTTGGATCTGCGCTGGTACCCCTTGGCGGCGCGCTCCGCGCGCCAGGGAGGCGGCGGCTTTCAGCGAAGCCCCAAGACGTCCGCGCGGGCCTTCAACAGTTTATTCTTGTGTTGTTCCCCAAATCCTAAGATGGGATTCTTGTTCCCCATATCCTAAGATGGGAGTCTTGTTATTACTCTGACGCCTCCTACACCTTCTTCTCCTTCTCCTTCTCCTCCCCTCTCCTCCTCATACCCAGACTTACTCATACACAGACTAACTCACACTCAGACTTACTCATACCCAGACTTACTCACACACAATATCACTCATATTCAGACCAACTCATACTCAGACCTACTCCTACTCAGACTACTCATGCTGAAACTCACTCATACCCAGACTTACTCATACTCAGGCCTTCTTATTGTCTGACTTACTTTACACACAGCAGATTGTGAGGATGTCTCATGCTGGGCGCTGGTTTCAGCACCCCTAAGAAGAGCCGCCGAGGGGTACGACACGGTCCCGTTCGCGGCCGTTTTGTGGGATGTCTCAAGCGGTTTGCTTGTTTTTTGGCGCAACATCCTTCGCTTTCGGCGCAGATTTGGAGGATGTCTCGAGCGAGGCGCTCAGTTTCACGCTCCTACGGGGAGCCGCCGAGGGGTATGACACGGTCCCGTTCGCGGCCGTTTTGTGGGGATGTCTCAAGCGGTTTGCCTGTTTTTGGGCCCAACATCCTTCGCGTTCGGAGCAGATTTGGAGGATGTCTCGAGCGAGGCGCTCATTTTCACATCCCTAAGGGGAGCCGCCGAGGGGTATGACACGGTCCCGTTCGCGGCCGTTTTGTGGGGATGTCTCAAGCGGTTTGCTTGTTTTCTAGCCCAACATCCTTCGCGTTCGGAGCAGATTTGGAGGATGTCTCGAGCGAGGCGCTCAGTTTCACGCCCCCAAGAGGAGCCGCCGAGGGGTATGACACGGTCTCGTTTGCGGCCGTTTTGTGGGGATGTCTCAAGCGGTGTGTTTGTTTTCTGGCCCAACATCCTTCGCCTTCGGAGCAGATTTGGCAGTGTGTTGGTGGCCAGACTCGTGGGCACAGATTTTCTTCAGGGTGCCACAGGATGCTCCAACAAGCTCCAGGAGGCCACTGGGGACCACATGAGGCCCCCGGAGGCATCAGGAGGCCACAGAAAGACTCAAGAGGCCACAAGATGTCCCAAGATGCTCCAGGAGGCCCCAGGAAGCTCTGGGAGGCCTCAGGAAGCCACAGGAGGCCCCAGGAGGCCACAGGAAGCGCCAGGAGACTTCGGAAGACAACAGGAGGCCCCGAGAAGCCCCAGGAGCAGGATGCCTCAGAAGGCAACAGGAGTGGCTCCAATCCAAGGTGTTTTACGTATGCTCCTATAGATTTGGCCTCACCTGGAGCACGAATCCTTGACGTTATACGTATGTTTCTATAGATTGTCCTTCTCCTGTGAACACAGTCCTAAATGTTTTACTTGTGTTCCTGTAGGTTGGGCCTCTCCTGGGGCACGAGTCCTTAGTGCTTTCCGTGTGTTCCTATAGATTGCCCTTCTCCTGTGGCTCTAATTCGCAATGTTTTATGTACGTCGGTTGCTATAGATTTGGCCTCTCCTGGGGCACGAAGCCTCCCTGGGAGATCCCAGGAGGCCCCAAGAGGCCCATGGAGGCCCCAGGAAGCCCCAGTAGGTTTCAGGAGGCCCCAGGAGGCCCCAGGCTCATGCGCAGAGACGCGCCCGTACTACTGAGGCGCATTCACACTCCAATTCATTCGCAGTTAGATCCATGACCAGACCGTCACAACTGAAGCCCGTTTATATTCGGAAGCTCTTGCGTCTAGACGTTCACGGCGGACAGGTCCACGCGAATATATGCACATATGGGGAGTTCCACGCAGTGAATATTTACGGTGTTGTCCCCCAAATCCTAAGATGGGGTTCTTGTTATTACTTGGACGCCTCCTACTCCTCCTTCCTCTTCTTCTCCTCCTCCTCATACCTAGACTTACTCATACACAGACTTACTCATAATCAGACCTGATTATATCAACTTACTCGTAGTCAGATCTACTCATACCCAGACCTACTCATACCCAGGCTTACTCATGCTGAGATTCACTCATACCCAGACTTACTCATACCCAGACCTTCCCATTGTCTGACTTACTCAACTCACAGCAGATGGTGAGGATATCTCAGGCGGGGCGCCGGTTTCAACACCCCTGAGGGGGACCTCCAAGGGGTATGACACGGTCCCGCTCGCGGCCGTGTTGTGGGGATGTCTCAAGCGGTTTGCTTGTTTTCTGTCCCAGCATCCTTCGCTTGGAGAGCAGATTGCGAGGATGTCTCATGCGGAGCGCTGGTTTCAGCACCCCTAAAGGGAGCCGCCGAGGGGTATGACACGGTCCCGTTCGCGACAGTTTTGTAGGGATGTCTCATGCGGTTTGCCTGTTTCCTGTCTCAACACCCTCCGCTTGGAGAGCAGATTGCGAGGATGTCTCATGCGGGGCGCTGGTTTCAGCAACCCTAAGGAGCGCCGCCAAGGGTACTTTCACGGCTCCGTTCGGCGCCGTTATGTGGGGATGTCTCTAGCGGTTTGCTTGGGTTCTGCTTTTGCGTTGTGTCCCGAGTGGCTCTCCCCGTTGCATACAGCGATCAAGGAGGAGTGACCAGGTGATGCTGGCGCAGAGCTTGTGTCACCGTGGGATGTTGTTTTCTCTCTCCGTGGTGTTTTCCAATCTTGTCGTCGTTAGCGGGAGGGTGAATTTGAGAAGGTTCATTCTCCCGCGTGCGTTTTTGGTTGGGGAGGGGAAGTGAGAAAACAAAAAAAAGGTTCACTCTCTAGTTGCGGGAGAGGGAACTTGAAAAGGTTCAATTTCCCGCTTGTGGTCATATTGGAGAGGGAACTTCAAAATGTTCACTCTCCAGGCAGGGACAGGGAACTTGAAAAGGTTTACTTTCCCTCGTGTGGTCGGACTGAAGGCCTTCAGGGTCTTCAAAGAGGACCACCTGTGTCATCGAGATCCAGGGGATGCGACGGCGAAGAGGATCACCTGTGTCATCGACCTCATATGCCACGGTGATTGCGACGCAGTGTCAATGAACTCTTTGCTTTGACAAAAAGATGCGCTGATATATGCTCGCGGATGAACATATACATGCGTGGGATGTGCAGCCGAGTTGCGCGCGCGTGTGCTTGTCGCTCACGTAGACGCGCTAACACTCCCATAAAAAGATGTTCACCATACTGCAAAGTGAGATGCACATATGACTCATATGGCTAGACGCTCATTCAGATATCTCAAATACAATATTACTTTGTTTGCACATATGGGGAGACGCAGTGAGTATTTTTCCCAACCATCATGCGGTGTTGGGTCCTCGTTTTGAAGAGGCGGTGTCCCGCGTCTCCTTCTCTTCCCGCTGCCCGCCCCCTCCTCCCTCCTCCCCCTCCTTGCCCCTGCTCCCGGCACACCCCTTCACACGTTTCGTAGCCCCATAAGGAGCTCCACCGAAGGTCCCAGTGGCAAAGCCCGCATGAGGTTCCCCCACCCAGGGCAGCGCTTCGTAGCCACATAAGATGCTCCACCGAAGGTCCCAGTGGCACAGCCCGCATGCGGTTCCCCCACCCAGGGCAGCGTTTCGTGGCCCCATAGGGAGTTCCACCGAAGGTCCCAATGCCACAGCCCGCATGCGGTTCCCCCCGCCCAGGGCAGCGTTTCGTGGCCCCATAGGGAGCTCCACCGAAGGTCCCAGTGGCACAGCCCGCATGCGGTTCCCCCACCCAGGGCTGCGCTTCGTAGCCCCATAGGGAGCTCCACCGAAGGTCCCAGTGACACAGCCCGCATGCGGTTCCTGTACCCAGGGCAGCGTTTCGTGGCACCATAGGGAGCTCTCCCAGTGGCGGAGCCCGCATACGGTCCCCCCCGCCTAGGGCAGCGCTTCGTGGCCCCATAGGGAGCTCCACCGAAGGTCCCAGTGGCACAGCCCGCATGCGGTTCCCCCACCCAGGGCAGCGTTTCGTGGCCCCATAGGGAGCTCCACCGAAGGTCCCAGTGGCACAGCCCGCATGCGGTTCCCCCACCCAGGGCAGCGCTTCGTAGCCCCATCGGGAGCTCAACCGAAAGTCCCAGTGGCACAGCCCGCATGAAGTTCCCTCACCCAAGGCTGCGTTTCGTGGCCCCCATAGGTTGCTCCACCGAAGGCCCCCGTGGCGCAGTTCGCATGCGTCCCCCCACCCAGGGTAGCGCTTCGTGGCCCCATAGGTAGCTCCCCCGAAGGTCCCAGTGGCGCAGTTTGCATGCGTCCCCCCCCCCACCCAGTACAGCGCTTCGTGGCCCCCATAGGTTGCTCCACCGAAGGCCCCAGTGGCGCAGTTCGCATGCGTCCCCCCCGCCCAGTACAGCGCTTCGTGGCCCCATAGGTAGCTCCCCCGAAGGTCCCAGTGGCGCAGTTCGCATGCGTCCCCCCACCCAGTACAGCGCTTCGTGGCCCCATACGGGGTTCCCCCGAGCGCAATACCCACAACTGCATATGGTTGGGCCCTTCGCCGGGGTAAGTTCTCCTTCTCGCGTTTCCCCCCAAAGACTCGCATTCGGGCCCCATTCCTGTCAGGAAAGGATACGGGATGGTAAGCCAGTTCCCAGGAAGGGGTTCCGCAGGCCAGGGGCTCTAAGAAGTCGTGTCGTCTGAGATCTGTGCCCAGGGCGCGGTCGCAGGCTTCAGCACGTCGCCGCGCTGGAGTCTCCGCTGCTGAGTGCTGCCGACGAAGAAGAGGTCGCCAGCCCGTTGTCCCCAAGCAGCCGAAGGCACAATGAGGCGAAAGAGTTCGTCGCTGAGAAGTTGCCTGCCCGCCTCCAGAAAAAATTGGTAAAGAAGGCCACGGAGGCGAGGTTTCGCGTGAGCCAGAGGTACATGTCCAAGGACGAAAGACACAAGAGTATGTTTTGGATCGTGCTCGTTCTCACCGCCGTGCTCTCAAGCCTGGTGTCGTTCATCATTGACCAAGGCACGCAGAACATCGGCACTTGGCGCCAGGGCTTCACGACTTTCTCGCACGGCTACTCCGACCTGGGGATGATATGTATCTTCAACATCATGCTAACCTGTGGCGCCCGCCTCCTCGTGCGCACGAAGGTGGAGGCGGAGGGCAGCGGCTTCCCGGAGGTGAAGGCGATGCTGTTCGGGAAACCCATGAGGAATTTTCTCACGCTCCGTGTTCTCGCTATAAAGGCAGTCTGCCTGACCATGGGCGTGGGCGCTGGGCTGCCCCTGGGGAAGGAGGGCCCGAACGTGCACATGGCGGCCTGCATCTCGCACACCCTGTCCGACCTGATGGGCAGGTGGGGCCTGATGGACAAGGACTTTTTCGTGAAGAAGCGCGTCGCCGCGTCGCACCTGCTCCTGGCCGCGTGCGCCGTGGGCGTCGGCTCGTCGTTCTCCGCCCCCATCGGCGGCGTGGTCTTCGCGCTGGAGCTGGTGCTGCCGCAGGTCTTCGACTCCGTCGGCTATTCCGGCTGCTTCCTGTCTGCGGTGAGCGGGTCTGTCTGCTACATTCTCTACCGGAGCGCCTTCGCCGACGCGAGCGTGCTCATGCCGCTCCTGTCGACCAACGTGGGCCCCGGAGAGGGCGCGCAGAGCCGCTACCCATTTTTCCTGCTCCTGATGGACGTGCTTCTCGGGGTCATCTGCGGGTACACGGGCGCCTATTGGATCAGCAGCCACAAGAAGTGTGCGAAGATGTTCAAGGAGTGGAGACTGCAGACTGCCAAGGCGTACAAGTTCAAGCACGGCAGCCTCCTCGCGGACCACATCCTCGAAGATTCGCCCTCGGCGAAAGTGAAGGGGGCCGTGACAAGGTTCAAGTTCAACGTGCGGACGGGCATCTACAACCAGCTGGAGAAGAGGGAGTGGAGGGACCTGGCGCAGATCGCCGTGATCACCTTGGTCAACACCATCGTCGCCGCGAACCTGCCGCTGCTGGGGGGCAAGCCACAGCCGGCGCTCCTCTCCACGCTGTTCAACAAGGAGCTCATGACCGACGAGAGCTGGGTGCTGTGGTGGGCGGGGCCGGTCGCCACCATGTTCCTGTGCTTTCTGGCGAAGTGGTTCCTCACGATGATGGCCCTGTCGCTGCCCAATCCGGCCGGCGTGGTGGCGCCGGTCATGATCATCGGGGGCCTGCTCGGGCGATTCCTCATCATGCTCGTTCCCAGCGTTTTCCTGGACATCCTGCTGGGCAGCACGGAGGACACGGTCAGCGACGCAGAGCGCATCGCCTTGCGGGGCGCCCTCGTGGCGCGCTTCGCCATCATCGGCGCGGGCGCCTTCTCGTCGGCGGTGTGTCGCGCCTTCGCGATGGCCATTACGATCTTCGAGGTGCTGGCGCTGCCCAATCTCATCATCCCGATCTCTACCGCCAGCTTGGCCGCCATGTTCGTAGCAGACAAGTTCGCTCGGCCCTATTTCGACACCAACCTCATCGGCCGCGGCCTGCAGGGCATCTCCGACCTGACACACGGCAAGGAGGCATTCAAGCCCGCGTTCGAAAAGATGCGGCGGGTGGATTTGCTCTCTGGATGCCTCGAGAAGAAGACCTCTCTCATGGAGATCGAGCAGGTCCTCAGCGAGCCTTGCAACCAGGATGAGGAGTTCTTCGCCATTGTGGAGCACGTCAACTCGGGGAGCTGGCAGGACACGGGCGTGTCCTGCATGCTCAAAGGTTGCATCACGCGCAAGAACCTCGAGGACATCAAGACAGATGTCAGCTCGAAGGGCCACGGGGCGTCGATGCTGATCGACCTGATGAGCCCACAGTGCCCGCCGTTAAAGAAACGGGGTCCTGCGGGGAAGGGGTCCCGACCTTTCTCCCTGTCGGCCTCCTCGGCCGTCTCCCTGGCCTTGGGACCGTCGAAAACCTCCCAATATGAATGTTAGCCAGAGTCTGGTATCCCCAAGCAGCGGTTTGGGGGGGCGCCAGGTGGGCTCCAACTACCGCTCGCACGTTGTCTTCGTCCTCTTGCTCCTGATCGGCCTGCAGTCTCATCGCCATCATTGCGGTCGTCGCGTTCGTCGTCGTTGTTTTCGTCATCCTCCTCGTCATCCTCTTTCTCGCCCTTCCGGCTCACAATCCATCAACTGCTACTTTCTCCTTCTCTTCCCCTCCTCACAATTCGTTATCATTATTTGTCGTTCTCCTCATGCTCCACTTTCTTCTCCTCATCATGCCCCTGATACTGTTCTTCCTTCCAGCTGTCCTTGCCCCCTCTTCATCCTGCTGGTTCTCCCCCTCATCCTCCTGCGTATCCACGTGCCGCTGGAGCTCGCATTCATGCAGGCACGGCGCTCCCGCCCAAGACTTGCTCACCGATGACTGCCCTCGCCGCGGCGCGGGCTGCTTCCATTGGGGGGAGCATGTGCCGCTCCTGGAGCTCATCTCGACACCACAGGCGTGCTCCGATTCGTCGTGCGACCCTGTGCCCGCCTCCCGCCTCCCTCCTCTCCCAACATTCCCTTCGTCTCCCCCCTCCCTTGCGGCAGCCGCCGCATGCTGGAAGATCTCCCACATTGGCCTCCGCATGCGAGGACGCACACGTGCAGCCCTATCCCGGTCACCAGAGGTAAGTGGCACCCTCCACGCTTCCTTGAGCGCAATGACGGCATACAGTTGTGGTAACGCCACGCAGAGTCCCCCCAAAAGTCCTCTCTCAACATTTCCACATTGTGAATGCGACTCTCCTCTCTCCCCCGGCTCCGTCTGGAGGATCGTCGATTCTCTCTGCATCTGTTGTTGTTTTTAAGCACAGAATTGGGCAAAGGTTGGTTCCCACATGGTTGTTCAACCATCCATCTATTTACGGTGTTGCATAATGTGCTCCCGCTGCAGCGTGGGCCTCATTTTTTGGCTCGGCGTTTTGCCCTCGTCGTTCAGGATGGCGCTCTTGCCCCAGCGTGGACAATGTTTCTAGATCCGAAGCATTGTTCGTCGTTGTCGCCCTCCTCGTTTTCCCTCCTCCGCCTTCCCCTGCTTTCCCACTCCTTCCATTCCTTCCACTCAAGTTCAAGCTCCTCCTGGCCCTCCTGCTCATCACCCTGCTCACCCGCTACTTCCTGTTCCTATATGCGCAGCTCCCCCCTTGGTTTTGCATTTGGAGCTCCAGGTCGGCCAAGACGCGCGCCCGCGGATAGAGACACATCAGCGCAAAGAGAAGCGCATGGGAGGGAGGGATGAAGTCGAGGCGTTGACCTAAGGAACCCTAAATCAGGAACGAGGCCCCTTCTTCCCAATGAGTTCAACCTCGATTTCCCATGGAAAACCTGGGGAAAACCCGAGGCAAACTTTGACACAATCAAGGAACACCGAGCCGCTCCCCAACGAAAAGGGTTCCTTCTTCAGCGCCCCGACTGTACGATGTCAGGCGTGGCGCGAGCGCACCTAGCGTGTCCTCTCCTCCCCTCCCTCCCTCATCCTCCATCCCTCTGCCCGCCCCCCTCCGCCTCGGTCTTTCTCTTCCCCCTTCGCTCGTCGTCGTTCTCCGGTTCGAGACCTCCTCACGGTTCCACGAGGCACGACGCCACCGCCCGAGACGTCCTTCGGATATGCAGGAGACGTTTGACTACGGATGCCTCGGACGTCCGGGCCTCGCCGCGGCGGTGAGTAACGGCTCCCGGGGGCAAGGCCTCGCCCGCGGGAGCCATTACCCCTCCTCCCTTTCGGAGCACTGTTGCGATGACCTTTTGCGCGGTGTACAGATACATCTATAGATACATATATATGTATATACACACACACTCATGTCTACATGTGTGTATTGGAGCAGGCCCAGGCTTGCGAGGATGTCTCAGTCGAAACGGGCCAAATCACCTCGCGCGTGGCATTGGGGGGCCAATCAATTGGAGGATGCCTCAGGCGAGACGGCTTGTAACACCCGTCGCAAAGTATCTCGGAGCCCAGAGTTGCGAGGATGTTTCAGTCGAGAGGAGCCTCAATACCAGCCATCTCAGAGCTCAGAGTTAAGAGGATGTCTCAGGAGGAACGGGCCAGACCACCTCGCGCTCGGCACAGGCGAAACGGGCTGAAGCATTTCAATATTGGCCATCTCGGACCCCAGAGTTGCAAGGATGTCTTAGGCTAGACGGGCCAGACCAACTCGCGCGCGGCAATTGGGAGCTCAGAGTTGCGAGGATATCTCAGGCCAAAATAGCTTGACCACCTCTTGCGCGGCATCTCGGAGCTCAGAGTTACGATGATCTCCCCGGCGAAATGAGCCCGACCACCTCGATCCTGGCCGTCTCGAAGCCCAGAGATGTGAGGATGTCTCAGGGGCGAAACGGGCCAGATCTCCTCGCGCTCGGCATCTGGGAGCCCAGAGTTGCGAGGATGTCTCGGACGAGGCGGGCTGGACTAATTCTGCATCCCAGAGGCCCCTTCGGGCATGCGTGGCTTAGCGCGCTCGTTCTTCCAGCCCCCTACTTCTGGTAGGGCCCATCACCGCTCCTGATTAAGATGCACCCCCTCCCCCACCCGACCGCCGACAAAACCGGGCCAGTGACAGCCACCTCCCCCAGCATCATTGTCAAACACCTGTGTGGAGCGCAGTGCGGCACAGTCTGGACCGTGCGCGGACGCCTCGCGATCACTCTGCACGGCTTTTCTGTTGTCGGCAGGGACGGCAGGGGTGCCCTCAGATTGCCGGCGACGTGCAGTGCGCAAAGTGGGCTTTGCACCAAAATCTGGATCCTGCCCTGGCGCCCCACGATCATTTTGCACTGGTTTTTGACAGGGACGGTGAGGGCACCCTTGTTCAATGCCGCCGCCGACACGCCCTGGCAACAAAATCAACACAAGGTGCACTCTGCACGAAAATTTGGATCATGCGCGAGCGTTCCGCGATCAGTTTGCGTCGGCTTTGGACAGGGCGAGCGGGTGGGACGGCATACGGTGAGGGCGTTCGATAAGGAACGTACCCTGGAGGATTCCTTACCTGATGAGGGCGGCGGTGATATCCATGGCCGATCCACGATGGGTGTTGCACCAGACCAGAGGGCCAAGCTCGGTGCAGGGCATGCTGCTGGCGATGAAGATATACCGCTTCTCGAGGGCCTCGCGGCCCGAGCCCGAGATGCGGCGAGGTGCGCGGCGGAGATCGAGGTCCACATCGCCGATCACGGGGTCAGGGACTGCTGGCCGACGGCGGCGCTCGAGGACCTCGACTTCGGCACACCCGAGTGGGAGGCCAGTGAGACCAGCGCGGCGACGGGGGGCCCCCCAGGCGCAGCGGCAGCAGCGGTGCTGATGGCGTCGGCCAAGGCGGTGGCCTCGAGCGCGGCGGATAGAGGCGGCGCCGAGTCCGTGCGGAAGCGGCCTGCGGCTGCTACGACGGCTGGCACCAGCGGCCAGGGCCTGGCCAGCAGCTCAGCCGCCGCAGCGCCAGCAGCCGATCGGCATGTGGCGCGACGGATCCAGGCCCCACCAGCGGCGGGCGGCTCCGCCGTTTGCGGACGGCCGTCGCCGCCTGGAGGGGAGCCTTGGCAGGCCAGGAGCCACCGTCTGGTGATGGGGCGAGTTGAGGGCGAAGCTGGCGAGTTCCCGGCACGCGCCACGTGCTTCATGTATGCGAAGATGCCCAGGATGTGTTGGCGCGGGCTCCGCGACGTGCGTGCAGGGGCCGCCGCCGGCCGAGCTCGCAAGGGCTCGAGGGCACAGGCGCGCAACGACTTCGAGCGCGGCCTGCTGCCAGGGACCCAAACCGAAGAAGGCCTTCGGAGCGCTGGAGACGCCGCCAGCCGAGGTGCGGAGCCGCTGGGCGGAGAAGCTGGGGCTGGCGGCGGGCGGCGACCTGGCCGAGTGTGCAGCAGCGAGCGCCAGCGCGTCGCAGGGCGCCGAGGGTGAGCGGCCTGCCAAGCGCCAGAGGGCGGCCGCGGCGGCCGCAGGCGGGGGCTCGGACGCCAGCTCGGCCGACGGCGTCCTCACCTTGCCGCCTGCGGTGTCGGCGGCAGCGGCCGACGGCGCTTCGGTGGAGGAGGCGCGAGCCCGCGGCGCGTCGGCGCAGAAGGCGAGGACGGCGGCCGCGGCGGCCGAGCACGCGCGCCGCAGAATTGCATAGAATTCACATCACCACGGGCATTTTGCCCTTGCAGTGAGAAAGATGCCCGCGCCGTACGTATTGCTTTGCGCGTGCAGGCCCGCCAGCTTCGTTGAACAAAAAGGTGCGCCTTGCCAGGGACTGCGAGGGAGAGCGACACATGGCCTGCTGCGCGCAGGCCCATCATCCTTGTCGAAAGCAAGTGTCAGGAGGGGGAGAACACACAGACGCAAGTAATCGTCGACCCCTGGAAAATATGGGAAACTATGGGAAGCGGGGGGGGGGAAAGACAAACACCCAGGAAATGTTGGAAACTATGGGGGTCGTGTTACTTGTGTTATATATATATATATGTATGTGTGTGTGTGCGTGTGTGTCCCGGGGCCTCTTCACACACACACACACACACGATGCACAATGCTGGCAAAACTCGCCGACAGGGATGGCGAGGGGCCGACGTACTGCCGAATGTGGCGCGCTTAATGCGCGTGGCGCACATGGCATGCGCTGTGCACCTCGCGGGCGTTGCGCACCTGGCTGGCGTCGGTATGGTTCCCGATGGTTATCGATGGCTGCAACTGCCTATGCTGACTGAGACTGGGGTGCTATTTGTGTAGTAGGAGGGCGGGCGGGAGTGAGCGAGGCAGCTTGCAGCGCTCCCGCTGGGAACTTGACCCCTCCCCTTGCATCCTCCTGGGTTGGGGGGGGGGTGCGAGGCGTTGGAGCGTCCAAGATGTGCCAACATTGTTCCGACATTATTTAACAAGAGCTCAAGATGACCTCCAAGATGGATCAAGATAGCCCTGGATGTCTCCAGATAGCCTCCACTATACCTCCAAACGGGCCTCAAGATCGCCCCGAGACGGCTCCGAGAGGCCAAGGAGCTTTCCGAGGGCGCCCGGGAGGAACACCCCCCCCAAAACCCGTGGAACATTACTATTGTTTGCCTTCTCGCTTTTGTGCTTCCGATGATATTCTGGGGCTTCAAGGCGGCTTCAAGATGGCCCCAAGAGAACCCCCCCAAGAGGGCCCTAAGATGGCCCCAGGAAAGCCCAAGAGCGCCAGAAGAGGGCCCCAGGTGGCGATTAAATCGCCACCTGCAAATCATTTGGAGGGCCCCGACGGGGGGGACGCAATCTACAACCCTTCTCTTTCATCGATGGCATCCGGGGATCGCCCCAGAAGCGCCCCAAGGCGTCCAACAAGGGCCTCAAAAGACCCCGAGAGGGCCCCGAGAGACCCTTCATGAAGCCCCCACGAGGGTTTCAACGACGGCCTCCGAAATTCATCCATCAAGGGGACCCCATAAGGGGCCTCCAGGAGGCTCCCGCAGCGAAAGGCCCGTAAAGGCCTTGATGAATTGCTCCTGTCGTCATCGTCGTCGTCGTTGTTGCGGTCTTCGTGGTTGTCGTCGTTGCTGCTGCTGCTGCTGCACATCGGTCATCAAGGCAACTCGCCTGGCGACTACTTTTGGATGGCATGGCGAGGTATTTTTTGTTAGTACGCAGGCGCACGAGGCGAGCCGGACGCCGGGCAAGCAGGGGAAACTATGGCGGGGATGTTTTTTTTTGGGTCGGCGGCCGCGCGACCACGGTCTGGCGGCAGCATGCGATGTCCGGGACTGCGGAACAAGGCTACTCCAGATTTCGTAATAAAAGGGAGGGGGTCACAACCTTCCCAGACGAGAAGTTTTAGACCCCCCCAGACTATCCATGAAAGGGCGGCCCTTTGCCCAGACCCCCCCGAACCCTCCAAGACAGCTCAAATTAGACCCCCCCCCGAATGTGACCCCCCCCCACTTTATTACGAAATCTGGAGTAATTGCACGCGAAGCGTGCGGTCTATGGCGAGGATACGCGAAGCGTTAGCAATGTTAGGGTTTTGCATGTGTTTGGGTCCCCCGGGTGGAATTATTTCGTGCCACAGAAACCCAGTCAGCACAGCTGTTTAGGGAAAACATCATGTGGACCAGGCCTCGTCTGCCACCTCCCTCCTCCATCTCCGAGCCCCTTGCTGAGAACGGCACATGCCCATTCCGTCGTTGCGCGCGTTCGGAACCCAGTCACGAGGATGTATCAGGCGAGTGGGCCTGACCACCTCGCGAGAGACATCTGCGAGACCAGAATTGCGACGATGTCTCAGGCTAAACGGGCCAAATCACTTTAATACTGGGCATCTCGGAGCCCTCAGAGGTGCGAGAATGCTTCAGGCGAAACGGGCCAGACCGCTTCAATCCCGGCCATCTCGGAAAGCAAATGTGCAACTATGTTTGTGACGAAGCGGGCCGGACCACCTCTCGCGCGGCATCTCGGAGCCCAGAGTTGCGAGTATGTCTCAGGCGAAAAGGACCCGACCACCTCAATACGGCCATCTCGGACCCCAGAGTTGCGAGGATGTCTCGATCGAAACAGGCCAAACCACCTCGCGCGCTGCCATCTGGGAGCCAAGAGGTGCGAGGATGTTTCAGGCAAAAACGGGCGAGACCACCTCTCGACCAGCATCTCGGCGCCCAGGGGTGCGAGGATGTCTCAGGCGAATCGGACCGGAACACCTCAGTCCATGCCATCCCAGAACCCAGAGCTGCGAGGATGTTTCAAGCGAGACAGGCCAGACCACCTTTCGAGCGGCTTCTCGGAGCCCAGAGGTGCGAGGATGTCTCAGGCGAAACATGCTGGACCACCTCGCGCGCTGCCATCTGGGAGCCCAGAGTTGCAGGGACGTCTCAGGCGAAACACGCTGGACCACCTCAATCCCAGCCATCTCGGAGCCCAGAGTTGCGAGGATGTCTCGGGCGAAACGGGCCGGACCACTTCAGAGTTTTGAGCATGTCCTCCCGAGCGGAGCTAGTTCCTACCACAGTACAGCCCCAGTCAGCACAGCTGCTTTGGAAAAGCGTGTCTGGGGCCCAGGGCCCAGTTCCTTCTCCGCCATGGCAAGGTACGCTTTTGTCCAGAGGGGCAGCTCGGCCCCCCCGCGGGTGAACCTCACCCCGCTGCACGTGACGGAGGACACCATCGTGCAGGATGTATACCTGGTCATGAAAGTGGCCAACGAGCCGGTCGTGTTCGTCACAAAGGACAACTTGTTGCAAGGTATCATTACGTTGAAGGAGTTGGCGTTCAAATGGGAGGGAGGAAGAAAAGAGAAGGCATGCTCCAGGGGGGGAGGGAGAAGGTGAAGCCAGGGAGTGAGATGAAAAGGAGGTGGAGGAGGAGGAGGAGGAGGAAGAGGAGCAGGCGATCATTTACATGTTTGTGTATATTCACAGGATTACCCTTCGCGTGAAAAGGAGGTTCGGGGGGGATTCGTGCAGCTTTCGGTTTGCGATTGGCGTCGTGTCAGACTCACGATCCATCAATCGACCGATCTTGATCTATCCATCAATCGGTCCACACAGTCTCCCATATGATCCCAGTACAAAAATAGCAACCGATATCTCTATCCCTGGATTTCACCATCTCTGGTTATGCCTGTCTCACCTATATATATTTATATATACACATATATATAAATATAAGCATACACATATATATATATATATATGGACAGCCCCCCCCCCAGCACCCACGATTCGCAGCATTCGCAGCCGACGTGTTTACTCATCTCCCTTTCTCTTGGCTCTTTTTCTCTTCTCATCCCCTTCGCTGCCTCCCTCCTTCCCTCCCAATCTCGGCATTCGCTTCCCAGCATGCCAGCGTCGGCTCTTTTCTCTCACATCTGACGGTGGCGTGGCGCGCGCTCTGCCACAGCGCGCAATGGAAGGCTGAAGGACACCATCCTCCCCAACGGAGGACACCAGCTTTTAGGAACCTTCACGCCGACACGTCGCTCACAGTTTTGTTGGGATGGCAATCAACGGAACCCTATGTTTTTTCTTTGGATGTTTAGGATTTCGAGGATTTGGGAACCCTACGAAAACACCACCGCCGCTCCTCCCCAAGGTCGGCGCTCCCAGGATACAGACAATCCAAATGAAATCGCATGGTTTGTGAGGTCAGCGGTAAGGAAACCAAATGTTTTCTCGCGGATTTCCGTGATTTCTGGAATGGAAATCAACGAAACCCTGCGTTTTCAATTGGACATTCTGTTTTTTTTTTGATTTGGGATCTTTGCGAAAACACCACTGCCGCTCCTCCCCCAGGTCGGCGCTCTCAGCATCCCAAAAATCCACATGAAAACGCAGGGTTTGCGAGGTCAGGGGCAAGGAAACCTTGCGTGTCCATTTGGATTTTGAGGATATCTGCGATGGAAATCTACGAAACCCTGCGTTCCCATGTGGATGTGCATGATTTTTGCGATTTGGGAGCCCTACGAAAATATCAATCTAAATGAAAACAAAAGGTTTCTTCACCTTGCGTTTTCATTTGGATTTTTGGATTCTGAGAGCGCCGGCCGGGGGGAGGAGCGGCGGTGATATTTTCGTAGGGCAAAAAAAAAACAAATATGTGAGCATCCGAATGGTTTCGTTGATTCCAATCCCAAAATATTTGAAATTCCAAATGAAATCGCAGGGTGTCCTTACACTTGACATCGCACTCCGTGCGCATTCATTTGGATTTTTTGGGATGCTGAGAGCGCCGGCCTAGGGGAGGAGGGGCGGTGGTATTTTCGCAAGGGTCCCAAATCAAACGCCGGGTTTCGTTGATTCCCATCCAGAAATCACGAAAATCCACATGAAAACGCAGGGTGCCCTTACCCCTGACCTCGCAAACCCTGCGTTTTCATGTGGATTTCTGGGATTCCGACAGCGCCGACCTGGGGGAGTAGCGGCGGTGGTGTTTTCGCAGGGTTCCCAAATCGCAGAAATCAAAAGAGAATCCATGTGAAAACGCAGAGTTTCGTTGATTTCCATTCCGAAAACCTTCCAAATCCAAGCGAAAACACAGGGCATCCTTACCCCTACCTCGCGAGCCCTGCGTTTTCATGGTTGCGTGTGGCGAATTGGCTGTCGGTGCTCGCAAAGTCGGCACTGGGGCTCACTGGTAAAGCGCCAGCGCTGGCAACGGGAGGACACCAGCTGAACTGCTTCCTTCTCCGAATCCTTCTCCACCTCCTCCTCCTCCTCCTCCTCCTCCTCCTCCTCCTCCTCATGCGAGCGTTCCTCCTCTTTTTCGTCCTCCTCCTCTTCCTTCTCCTCCTCCTCCTCCTCTTCCTCTTCCTCCTCCTCCTCCTCCTCCTCCTCCTCCCCCTCCCCCTGCTACTCCTCAGAATTAAACTCCTTGTCCTCGTCCTCTTTTTCCTCCTCCTTCTCCTCTTCCTTTTTCTGTTCTGAATCCTCCTCCACCTCCTCCTCCTCATGTCAGTCCTACTGCTCCTCCTCCTCTTCCTCCTTTTTTTTCGTGCGACAAATTTCAATGGATTCTCTTTTGTAGCCGATTTCAATGTCATTTCTTTTGGATCATCTTTCACTTAGACTCCTTTTGTAGCCGATTTCGATGGGATCCTTTCTGTTGGGGATTTCGGAGAGATTTCTGTTGTAGCCGATTTCAGAACGATCCCGTTCGTGGGGGATTTCGATCGGTTTCGTTTCATCGCCGATTTCAATAGGATTCCTGTTTGTAGCCGATCTCAATATGATTTGTTTTGTAAGGATTTCACTAGGAGTCTCCTTGTAGCAGATTTTAACAGGATTCATCTTTTAACCGAGTTCAGTAGGATTTCTTTTGCGGAGAATTTCAAGAGGATTCTTCTTGCAGCCGATTTCAGTAGGATTCCTGATGTAGCCGATTTCAGTAGGATTCCCTTTTGTAAGGATTTCAATAGCGTTCCTTTTGCAGCTGATTTCAAAAGTGTTCCTTTTGAAGACGATTTCACGAAGAATTCTTTCGTGGGGGTTTCGTAGGACTCCTTTGGTAGCCGATCTCAATCCGATTCTTTTTGAAGCCGATTCCAATAGGATCCCTTTTGTAATCGACCCCTGTCAATGGGGAAGCTCGGGGAGAAATCGAAGGAATCAGGCAGAAGCCGAGGAAGAGAGTGGAGTCAACGCAGGGAGGACGATGGGGGTAGCAACAGCGAGGAACGCCAAGAACTGCAGGGGAACTGACAGCAGGAAGAGGAAGAGGAGGAAGACCATTGAGCATATATGTTCAACCGAGGATCGATCACTGAAAACGCGACTGGACGCTCCAACGATCGATGTGAATCTCGTGGGTGATGGGGGATGGGCTGCGCTATATATCTATATACAAATGTGAAAGAGCGTGTTCTATCGACCGCTGCTGGCGGAAAACAGGAGGGGGTCGCTGGGGGCTCCCAACCCGCCCCCCCCTTCGAAAACTGGGGGGCGTCGCGAACGGTTCAAAGCCCTCCGCCCCCCCCCCCCCCAGTCCACTGTGAAAAAAAGGGGGGGGGGGGGGGGCACTGCCGGTTCGAATCCCCCCCCCCTCACCCCAGGCAAGCGATTCCCGCTTTTCGGGATAGTGGGACAGTGGTGGGGATATTGAGACAGTGGCGGGGGCGGTGGTGGCGGGGACACAGGTGTGGGGACAGTGGGGATGGTGGGGACGGCGGTGGTGGGGACGGCGGCGCGGTGGACTCCTCACCCCCCCCCGCGAACTTATCGGCCACCTTTGAGCATTGCAATTTGCATGCGATTCTGCCCCATCGCCCATCCAAAAAAAAATCACACCATCCAAGCCGAGCCCAGCCGAGCCCGCATCGCCCCCCCCCCCCCCCCCCACACCACCCTTTGCAACAAAATATTATGCGCGCGCACCGCTTATAAAAAGAAATACAAGTTTCCAACAATCCTTTGCAGCGAATGGGACAAAGTGCACGCGCGCGCGTCGTCGCGCGCCCAGGCCGACATCTCCCAAAATTTCTCGGTGTCGTAAGGATTTTAAGATCGAGCGTCCAAAAAGACATATACACATGGTTGTGCAACGCGGAATTTCCTGAGAAATCTTAAGCAAAACGTTGGTTGTTCATCATTTTCAGGGCATGTTACCCAACGTGCTTCGCGCGCGCATGCCGAAAACCCGTCAAACTAATTTCGGTTTCGTCAGGATGTCAACATCGAGTTCCGAGAAAACATATAAACGCACAGGGTTTCGCAACAGTTTTTTGTTGAAAGAAGAAAGTGTGTGTGCGCGCGCTCTTGCGAAATCATGAGAATTCAATGAGCTGTCTCAGCATTTTCAGAAAATGCTACCAAACGGGCTTCGCGTGCGCGCGTGTCGAAGTCGTTCGAACGCCCTTGCGCGCGTGCTGGGGTGGCAAGAAACGTGTCAAATAATGCCATGCGTGCCGCTGTCGCGCGTCTGCCGCGCGCGCGCGCGTCGAACTCCTTCCAGAACCTTCGTCGCCGACGCGGGGACGTCGTCGACGTTGCCCTGGTTCCGCGCCCGCCCAAGTCGCCGATTCGCGCTGAAGTGACCGCTGGGCTGTGCCGAGCGGTCAGTGCCACCGCGTTCGCGTCGGTCGCGCCAAACTAGCCGGCCGCTGCGCGCGCGAGAACGCGCGGGCAAGCGCGGCCGCAAGGATGCACCGGCTAACAGCAAGCACTCATCGCAATCGCTCCCGCATGGGCTTTGCAAACCAAGTGGCGGGTGGATGGGCGGGATGACTGCGAGAGAAGTGGAGTCGACAACTTCAAGCTCAGCAAGGTGAATTGCAAGGTGAACTGCACCACGTAGATCGCCCCCCGATCTTCCACCCTGAACTCACGCCGCCCCAGGCGAGACGGCATCGCCCCCCCCTTCCCCCCCGCCATCTTCTGCAACATTCTACGCGCGCACATTCGCTTATAGAAAACCAGCAGTGTTTAATGATTCCTTGCAGCAGGTAAAAAGAAGTGCACCCGCGCGCGTCGTCGCGCGCATGGTTTAAAACGCTTCGAAAAGGCTTCGGTTTCGCAGGGGGTTCAAATCGAGCGCCCAAGCAACATATACAAACACACGGTTTCGCAACACGGAATTTGGAGAGAAAACAAGTGCTTGCGCGCGCGTTCCAACGAAAATTTTGGAAGAAAACGATGTTTTTGTTGTCGGCGTGGCCTGGAATGCCACCGCGCGGGCTTCGCGCGCGCGTTTCGAAATCGCTCGAACGTTCTTGCGCGCGTGCCGTCGCGAGAACCCTTGCAACAAATGGGGCGAAGTGCACGCTCGCGC